ATGCCCTAAGGCCTCGTAAAACAATAAATATACCCTTTAAAAGCATATCTATAAGATTCCAAGCCAGGAACACAGTGAACTAAATCAAAACTTTAATACAATTAATTCTTAAATTAAATGGTTTGGTTTCACACCTTACTTTTCAACAAAATACGAAATAAGTCAAAATGAGTTAAATCGTGACTTCTAGGTGGCCAATTATGGTCTCCAAAACGTCATTCTGACATTGTTTTTTGTTTAATGTCATGACATGACATGCTGCTGCATTTACAACTAAAATTTCAAAAAATTTAATTTCTTAAATTTAAAGTTCCGATTGGAATCTCGTTTTTGCACCCAGTGCATCTAGAGTTCAAAATATGTAAAATGGGTTGTACTGTGGGTTCATAATTGCAGAGTGCTCTTCGCGTTTCGAAACAAAACACAAAACAACGTAAAAAGAGCAAGCGCATTCGTGTCTGGAATATTTGCGGGCCCGCAACAAAAAAATGAAGACAATGTTCGAGAAAGAAGGGAGATATAAATAGACTCGGTTGTGTTGTGGTGTGATTTTATTGGTTACATAATGACGCGTCGTTTGTTTTAATTATTTATGAAATTGCAGGCTGTAAATTATCTTTATAGGAAAATTTACGAAGTCGCCGATGATAAATCTTATTTAAATGCTTACACACGGTAGTTGCTTGACGAGAAAAAATCGCAATGCTTTAAGATTCCATCGCTAAATTATCGTTTATTATTATTTGATGCTTCGGTGGTCCAAGCAAAGAACCTTGAAGAACTCCGTCTCTAAAAAATAAAGGCTCTCAAACAAAAAAACTTAAACGGGTAAAGTTTTGATTTTTTTATTATTAATTAAATTAAAAATTATTTAATGTATGTTATTTTTGAGATGGTATTATATATTCCTTTCATACATTAATAATTATTCAAATTATTGCAAAACAACAAATTAATTTTATGTTTCTGTAATGGTATGTAAATAAGACTCTAGGTATAGAATTATAGTTTATTTAAAAAACTGTAAAAGTATAGTTATTAGGGTGGAGTGAATTTTATTAAATTTATTAATTGATTTTTCCTATATTATTAATTGTTGACTAAAGGCGTAAAATGAATAAATATCGAAAAAATATTCCAATTTTTTAATATCTTGAGGTGGCGCATCAGTCTCGAAGTTTTGAAAATTCTAAAAAAATATTACTTTAATCAAAGTAATAAAAATAGCATTATTTATAAATAAAAAAATTATTTTAGTAAAATTAACGTGAAACGTAAACATATTTAATAGTAAATCATATGCTTTAAGTAACTTCAGGAGTGTTTATTGGTAGAAATGAAATCTTCTTTTTCGCGAAAATACTGACATTTGGTATAAAAATTTGGTAATTATTTTCTGACTTTAATTCTTGTTCTGATGAAACCATCTCTTGCTTCCGATCCACAAACCGAGTCTGAAGATTCAGTATACTGGTTATAACCAGTTTTACACAGCGTTCCACTGCTTGGGTGTGACACGGAAATTTTTGGAAGTATAGGAAATGGTCACCCGAAGAAATCATATCGGTAATTTCTGTCATCGTATTTCATAGTCATAGGTGGTTCAGTTACCTTTTCTGTCGCCCAGTGAATTAACTCGTAAAAATGTAATGCTTCAGTATTTAGTTGTGGAAGCTTTAATTCCCGTAATCTCGAACATTTTGATTCTTTTCTCGCCTTTAATATTTTCGGCAATGCTAGTTCTCTGATCGATAGATATATTGTAGGTAACATAGCTAGTAATAGGTTTTCGGGATAAATATTAGCTATAGCTTACAAAGATCCAGGCAAGCTAGCACATTCCCTATGGCTGACGTGGACTAATAGGATTATTCGTTTATATGTGGGGACAGCAAATCCATCGGAAAACCTAAAAGAATTGGCTACTTTTATCATGAAAGTGTATGCCCCAACGTGGTTTTACATCAACACCAAGCCTACGTGCAAACATGGTCCTATTCACATATTTATTAAATATGTGAATATGAAATATTATTTAATATGACTAAAAGAGCATTACACCTCCAGAAAAACTTGAAGGCCTTATAACTATAGTTATAAAGAATATTCAGCGAAATATTTATCCCGAAAACCTATTACTTGCTATGTTACCTACAATATATCTATCGATCAGAGAACTAGCATTGCCGAAAATATTAAAGGCGAGAAAAGAATCAAAATGTTCGAGATTACGGGAATTAAAGCTTCCACAACTAAATACTAAAGCATTACGTTTGTATCAGTTAATTCACTGGGCGACAGAAAAGGTGACTGAACCACCTATGACTATGAAATACGATGACAGAAATTACCGATATGATTTCTTCGGGTGACCATTTCCTATACTTCCAAAAATTTCAGTGTCACACCCAAGCAGTGGAACGCTGTGTAAAACTGGTTATAACCAGTATACTGAATCTTCAGTCTCGGTTTGTGGATCGGAAGCAAGAAATGGTTTCATCAGAACAAGAATTAAAGTCAGAAAATAATTACCAAATTTTGATACCAAATGTCAGTATTTTCGCGAAAAAGAAGATCTCATTTCTACCAATAAACACTCCTGAAGTTACTTAAAGCATATGATTTACTATTAAATATGTTTACGTTTCACGTTAATTTTACTAAAATAAACTTTTTATTTATAAATAATGCTATTTTTATTACTTTGATTAAAGTAATATTTTTTTAGAATTTTCAAAACTTCGAGACAGATGCGCCACCTCAAGATATTAAAAAATTGGAATATTTTTTCGATATTTATTCATTTTACGCCTTTAGTCAACAATTAATAATGTAGGAAAAATCAATTAATAAATTTAAAAAAATTCACTCCACCCTAATAGTTATGTTTATCTTCTCATATTATATAATATCGTTTTTTTTCATTATAAATTTCCTGCGTAACAACGGGAATAATGAACTCATTATTCACTGTGATTTAAACCAATCAGATATTAAATTGGGATAAGGCAACTAATAAAATTTAAAATCGGTAGAACCAACTCAGATCATAGATTTTATTTACTTATTTTTGAAAATCATTTAAATATCTTCTAATTGAGGTAGATAAAGTATGGTATTATCATTATCTCTCGTATAATAATATACTGATATTTTCCTTTGATGTACAATAATTTAAACCTAACTTAGGATATCTAATATCAACAACCATAAATACCAGCGTTACCTACGTGAGTACCATATAATTGGTATATACCATGGGAGATTTTAATTTTCTCACAAAGGGCAGAGATTATATCTATACAAACAGATAGGTATTTTGTAAATAAATTAAACTTATAAGTTTACGAGTGTGAATGAAATTTTCTTTATAAATAAAAAGAATGTTATCCATTTGTTATGGTAATAAAAAAATAGTTATAGAAAAATAAAAATGGCAGTAAATGTTAAACGATTGCAAAAAATCTAATCAATATAATATTTCCGTAAAATTGTATAATTAGTATTGCTTGTTAAAATTTTAAAGCCTAATTGCTATGAAATCAATAAATTGCTCTGAAAAACACTTTCTATTCAATAACAGGCAAGTTTTCTACCATCGAAAAGCTCATCATTAGGAAGTCATTGGTCATAATACCGTCAAAAATAATGAAAGTAGAACCGTTTTTGAGATATATTCAACATATAACATGAAAAATATTTTATGTTTATATTAAATCTTTGTCGAACTTAAATTGTTTTTGTTAAATCTATAGTTGTGTGTGAATTGCGCTTACATATAGTAATTCGCAGTTGTTATAGCAAAATTTGTTCATTTTACTATGGCATATTTGTCTTTTTTAAATTACTATCGTTGTAATTCAAATTAATTTTATTTCAGTTAGAGAATCTTTGTTAATAGCTTACGTTAAGAACAATAACAAAAATATTTTGTTGCTATAAAAAGACTCTTTTAATATTTACTATTGTTTTGCAATGGTAACAAAATTTTTGTTATTTCCCTTAAAAAAAAGGGGGAAAGGGTCAGCGCTCTCCTTAGCGAACATAACTTTATAATCCACAGTCTGTGTTATAATCTTATTGATTTCACTTGTGCGAGTGTAGTGTGGTGAAATCTAGCATGATAAAAATATCAAAAAGATCACTAAGAAAATTAAAATTTCGACGTTTTCTAAAAAAAATAAGGTCTATTCTATAAACGAAGCAGACTTGTTTAAAAAGTGAGTTCATATTTTTTTTATTTTGTACATCATATAATATGATATTTTTTAGATATCTACTAATTAAACATATTGTTTTACACAAAACTGATTTAAATCGAACTTAAAAAAAAGTATCATGTATCTTGAATAACATTTAAATATCAGAAATAATTTGGAAGGATTGTGTTTCAAGATATAAGATTTTTTTAAATATCATTGATTTTTTAAATTTTATTAATAATACACTAGCGGAGCGTTTTTAATAAATAACTGATATTGAGAACCATTAAACAAATTATCTAGAACGAACAAACTACGAACACAAACCTCACTTTTTACAATATGAAATCTGTCAGGCGGGTATAACCTCATTTTTCTCAATTTAATGCACATTCTGGCAGAAAAACCGTAGTAAATAATGAACGTTTGAGCCAATTGTAATATATCATTTAAATTTCAAACAAATTACATAATCCAACGACAAATTGTTGATAGATTAACCAGCAGCATATATTTAAACATTAGACAAATTTTCAATGAACTATTCAGCGTACGGTGATTTCCATATGGGGTCACTGTTGACTGGCGCCTCTAGTAGTGGGCTCCCATTTTTACTTTCAAACAACTATATATATACTATATAGTATATATATATATATATTGCCATGCGACACCATTGTCGTCGTTGTTATTTCAGCTATTTTAAATGTCTTTCTGTTCATTAATATTTGATTTATGAATACATGAATACATACTTCGGTTATTTATATTATTTTTATTTTTTTTTATTTTTTACAGACTACTTTGCAGCCCACTATAAGCCAGCCCAGAATGGCACAACTGGAGACCTTAGAAGCCAAAGTATGTATTTTTATTTGTATAAATAATATTTTGGAATATGCTGGAAATATTTTAATCACAATTTACGAGGTGTGTTCAGAAAATATCGGGAATTTTCGGTTTTTGTAACAAATATTTATTTATTCGTCTACATTAATGTTGTCGCCTTCAAAATAGTCCCCATTGGATATTATGCACATGTGCCAGCTCTTCTTCCAATACTCGAAACACTTCTAAAACTCGATCTTTGGGATAGCCTTTAGTTCTTTCAGCGATGCGCTTTTATTGTCATCTATGCTTGCAAAACGACGGCCCTTTAAGGTTCTCTTTATTTTTGGGAATAGGAAAAAGTCAGACAGAGGCATGTCTGGCGAATATGGAGGCTGGGGCATCATTACAGTATTGTTTTTGGCCATAAATTTTGTTCAAAATTTAACAATTTTAGAACAAATTTTGCTGCCATGCGTTTTATACCCAAAACATTCGAAAAAATTTTATGGGATGAGCCAATCGATATAATAACATTATCAGCGACTTCCTTGATGGTTTATAACCATTTCTTCCACTTTTTCCATGTTTTTATCGGTTGTTAATGTGCTTGTGCGTTCGGGGCGTTCGTCATCTTCACGGCCATCTTGGAAACTCTTATACCACTTGTAAACTCTTGTTTTACTTATAGCAGACTCACTATAGGCCTTTGTTAACATTTCACAGAATTTATTTCATTTTTTAAGCAAAATTGGATACAAATTCTTTCATCCATTTCTTTTAACGAACGAAAAATCGCCGAGCTCATAAAACACGTCTAACCTTAGCGGCTGCCACAGACAAAGTAAACAATGAAAACAGCTAAAGTTTTTATCATACTTCGGGGACATGTATACCAACATAATAAAGAAAATTTTATGACAACCGGACCCTCCGAACCCGCGAAATTTAACAATTCCCGTTATTTTCTGAACACACCTCGTATATACCATTGCTTTAAACATAATAATGATTCTTTTACAAACGCCTGCTACTAACTTTTTTGGCATTCTCATCTGGGTGGTCTAAGAAGACATGGCACCTTTGATTGTGTTTGACCACTATCGCAATTAAAAGGTATTTAATTTTCTCTCGCCTTCCATGATACAATACTTGTGGCTTGGCTACAATAGACCGACACGATGCTACATCATATATGATTATGAGTACAAGGGTCTAAGAATGCGTGTGCATTGTGTATGGCCATGCGTGCACAAAATATCAGGTTACACGCGTATTAAAATGCAAATTTCTTTATTTCGCCGGTTTTTGTTTGATGTGAATATGATGGATGGGAGAATAAATTATGGATGCCTACCTATAGAAAATATTGGGTGGCTATCATTATAATGTTGTAAATTAAATACTAGTGCCAAGGGTAAAAATAATAATCCAAAATAAATGTAATGCTAAAATAGTGTGTTTCCTGTTTAAGTCAAATGAAATTCGTTTTTTTTTTTATTTTTTTTCATTTTATAATTTTTTTGTCTTAATTTTTACCATTTTATTGTAATTTAGTACAAAAACTGCTAAAAATGCAAAACGCAAAAAATACTCTATTTTTGTTTGTGTTTTAATTTATTTATATTTTTTTTAAATTAATTTAACAATAAATTAATTGTTAATTCAATAAACTATTTTCATTGTAACAATGGTAACATATGATGTACAGGGTGGTCCACGTAAGGTGACCCATATACTTATCTCAGAAACTACTGGAGTCACAAAAAATTTGTAAGGAACAAATATTCACGAAGTAAAAAATATTTTTAAAATATTATATTTTCATTTATACAGGGTGTTCGGTTTTCCTTGGGACGATACCAACTTTCTTATTTTCAATGGAACACCCTGTATTTTTTTGCATTTTTGGATTCTTCCCACTCTTTTAGGTATACTTTGTAAATACATTAAATAAGAAAATATTAATACTTTTTGAGTAAAATTAAGATTTATTAAAATTTCTCTAAATGTAGACACTCGCTAAAAGTTAAAAATAACCGACTAAAAGTTATTATTTTTTATATTATGTAGTATCCATCTCTTTAATAATAAGTAAGCTATAAGTTAATTATTATATTTTTTGGAAAATATCATACAGGGTGTTTTCTATGTCCCGTTGAAAATAGCGATTTTAAAAGTTTAAAATCTTGTTTTTATTCAATGGAACACCCTATATATTTTTGCATAATTGGATAGAATAAGTAATTACCTTTCATTTTATATATATATGTCCTATACCTAAACCTAACAGAAAAAAAAATATTCGCATTTTTCACAATTAGTAGCTTTTTTCCAATTACCTTAGTTAAATTTTCATTATTCAAAGAAAACACCCTGTATAATATTTTCCAAAAAATAAATTAATTAACTTATAGCTTACTTATTATTAAAGAGATGAATGCTACATAATATAAAAAATAATAACTTTTAGTTGGTTATTTTTAACTTTTAGCTAATGTCTACATTTAGAGAAATTTTAATAAATCCTCATTTTACTCAAAAAGTATTAACATTTTATTAATTAATATATTTACAAAGTATACCTAAAAGAGTGTATAGAATCCAAAAATGCAAAAAAATATAGGGTGTTCCATTGAAAATAAGAAAGTTGGTATCGTCCCAAGGAAAACCGAACACCCTGTATAAATGAAAATATAATATTTTAAAAATATTTTTTACTTCGTGAATATTTGTTTCTTACAAATTTTTTGTGACTCCAGTAGTTTCTGAGATAAGTATATGGGTCACCTTACGTGGATCACCTAAAAAAAATATACGCATATTACAAAATTAGTAGCTTTGCGCGTATGGTAATTATTATAGTAATATATATTTATATATAAAAGCATTTTTATTTGTTGTTATTGAAATTTATTTATTTGAATAATGAAAATTTAACTAAGGTAATTGGAAAAAAGCTACTAATTGTGAAAAATGCGAATATTTTTTTTTCTGTTAGGTTTAGGTATAGGACATATATATATAAAATGAAAGGTAATTACTTATTCTATCCAATTATGCAAAAATATATAGGGTGTTCCATTGAAGAAAAACAAGATTTTAAACTTTTAAAATCGCTATTTTCAACGGGACATAGAAAACACCCTGTATGATATTTTCCAAAAAATATAATAATTAACTTATAGCTTACTTATTATTAAAGAGATGGATACTACATAATATAAAAAATAATAACTTTTAGTTGATTATTTTTAACTTTTAGCGAGTGTCTACATTTAGAGAAATTTTAATAAATCTTAATTTTACTCAAAAAGTATTAACATTTTCTTAATTAATATATTTACAAAGTATACCTAAAAGAGTGGGTAGAATCCAAAAATGCAAAAAAATAAAGGGTGTTCCATTGAAAATAAGAAAGTTGGTATCGTCCCAAGGAAAACCGAACACCCTGTATAAATGAAAATATAATATTTTAAAAATATTTTTTACTTCGTGAATATTTGTTCTTTACAAATTTTTTGTGACTCCAGTAGTTTCTGAGATAAGTATATGGGTCACCTTACGTGGACCACCCTGTACAAAATAAAAAAAATATGAACTCACTTTTTAAACAACAAGTCTGCCTCGTTTATAGAATAGACCTTAACTGTTTCTTTTAGAAAACGTCGAAATTTTAATTTTCTTAGTGATCTTTTTGATATCTTTATCATGCTAGATTTTACCACACTTCACTCGCACAAGTGAAATCAATAAGACTTTGGATTATAAAGTTATGTTCACCAAGGAGAGCGCTGGCCCTTTCCCCCTCTTTTTAAGGGAAATAACCAAAAATTTGTTACCATTGCAAAACAATAGTAAATATTAAAAAAGTCTTTTTATAGCAAAAAAATATTTTTGTTATTTTTCTTAACGTAAGCTATTAACAAAAATTTTCTAACTGAAATAAAATTAATTTGAATTACAACGATAGTAATTTTAAAAAGACAAAAATGCCATAGTAAAATGAACAAATTTTACTATAACAACTGTGCATTACTTTATGTAAGCGCAATTCACACACAACTATAGATTTAACAAAAACATTTTAAGTTCGACAAAGATTTAATATTAACATAAAGTATTTCTTATTGCCATGACAATATGATAACAACTATTACTTTGTTGGATGAACATTTTTTTATAAAAGCTCAACATTGCTGCTTCATTATAGTGAATGAGAATTTTATTAACATTAAAAAAAGTTTATTCTGTAAACAAAAATAATCTCATTACTTCGACAAATCGTAGGTTTTTGTCCCAATATTTCTGAATTATTTCTAAAATTTATATTTTGAATATCATAATTTTATGCATTTTTTACATTTTTGTTTTTTTTAACTTTTTATACATTTTAAATTTTTTTGCGGATTTTTAATTCTTATAATTTTGTTATGTTTCTTATTTTTTACGTATTAAAAATTTTAGATTATTTTTTTATTAATAATTTCTTCTATTTTGAAATTTAAATTGTTATTTTTATTAATTTTTATTTCTAAATTTGCAAACAATGTTTGTTTCATTCATAACTTTCGGCCACTTCAAAATGACAATTTCCACAAAAGAAAACACCAATTAAAAAAATTACGAGCACTTATCCAGCGAAATAAATCACCGAGTAACACGATGCTCTTTACAAAATTTGCATAAAGTTTTGTTTACCCCGCAACAGAAGGCTCGTAATAATATATGGCCTGCCCAGATCGAATAAAAGATATCAATGGGGGTCCAAAAATTAATAATTAAAAACCGGTGCGGACCTACAGCCCTTCCCTTTAACACCTCTAATAATACAGGGTGGTACCATTGAACAAACATCCCAAGTAGAACAATTGGTTAAATTAAAGTTTTGCCTGGTTAATTCCTTTAAGTAATATTAAATTTTGTAATAAGTGGGGAATTCAATTTTAATTTAATATATACAGTGTGTATTAAAACAAATAGATACACTTAAATAAAACAAGTGCCAAACCCCGCCCACTGTGGTAGGGATT